CCTTACCTCTTACTAAATACCAAAATACATCCATGTGAACTAAAAGTTAAATGTAAATTATGAAGTAATACTGACTAATACATATGAAGCTCTTACAAATAAATTAAAAAATGAACACTCTGAGAAAAATGACTGAAACATAAAGAAAAAAGAGTTAAAACTTGAAAAAGTCTTAACACCAATAATCAAATAAATTAACAGTAAATCAATGATTCTATTTTTTGTCCACTGGATTACAAAAAAATATATAAAAGAATGATAATAGCCCTGGCCAGTTTGGCTCAGTGGTTAGAGCGTCAGAGGGTAGACCAAAGAGTCTCGGGTTCAATTCTGGTCAAGGGTACGTACCTCGGTTGTGGTTCAGTCCCCGGGCCTTGGTTGGGGTCTTGCAGGAGGCAACCAGTAGATGTGTTTATCTCACATCAATGTTTTTCTCTCTCTCTCCACCTCTCACTCTATCTGAGATAAACAGAAAAATATCCTCAGGTTAGGATTTTAAAAAAAAGAATGATAACACCCAGTATTGGCAAGGGTAGGAAAAGAAATCTAAGGAAAGCTATAATTTGAAGTATAAAATGCTATAGCATTTCCTGAAGGTAATTTAGATATACATATCAAAAGCCTCCACACACACTTAGTCTTTTTCAACTTCTAGGAATTTACTAAATAAGAAGAATACTCATAACATCATTATTTATAATAAAAAATAGAATAAATAGGACTTCCGGTCAAGATGGCGGGGTAGGTAAACACAGTATCGCGTCCTCCCACAACCACATCAAAGTTACAACTAAACTACAGAACAATCATCATTCAAAACCGCCTGAAATCTACCTGAATGGAAGTCCTACAACTACGGAATTAAAGCAGCAGCCACATCCAGACTGGTAGGAGGAACGGAGGAGCAAGGGGCGGCAGCGGTGGAGGCGGCACGATGGGCTGGTCCCACACCACGTGTGGCGGATAAAAATCAGGAGGCTCCCGCGGCTGGGAAGGTCCTTACTGAGCACTGAGGGGTCCCCGTCCCACACCAGGTGCCCCGCTCAGGGTTCCAGTGCCAGGAAGAGAAGTCCCAATAACTTCTGGCTGGAAAAACCAGCAGGAACTGAGGCTCAGGGAAGCTGAAGCGGCTGGATCCCCAGGCAGCTCCTTAAAGGGCCCGCGCATGGACTTATCGGACTCTCTCCCTCTAAACTTGGAGGGGAGGCAGCTCGAGGGGCGCCAGAGACACACAGGGAAGAACTGAGCTGTTTGGCACTGGAGCGAGGGCTGGAGAGAGGGCTTTCTCCAGGACAAACATGCTGTCAGAGGCCTTTGTTCCTTTGGTGAACCCTTCCCTGGGGGGTCAGACAGCTGCCATATCTGAGGCCCCACCCTGGTGACTCCCTGAGGCCCCGCCCCACCACGCCCCACCCAACATTCAGGCCAACCCAAGATGTTGCCACTTGCTTAACCATAGGATTGGCCTGTCTTGAATCCTGCTTCAGGTTTTTCCTAAATTCTTTCAAACGAGCAGCATCTGGTCTCAGCTAGCCCCATACTGGTCTCAGCTAGCCCCTTACCTCTCGTTAAGTAATACACTGAAACAAATGCAGGGAGGCAGCCAAAATGAGGAGACAAAAAAACAGGTCTCAAATGAAAAAACAGAACAAAACCCCAATAAAAGAACTAAGCGAAATGGAGATAAACAACCTAACAGATGCTGAGTTCAAAATACTACTCATAAGGATGCTCAATGAACTTAGTGAGAACCTCAGTGAACTTAGTGAGGGCCTCAAGAGCATAAAAAAGGACCAGTCAGAAATCATGGATGCACAGTTAGAATTGAAGGAGGCATTAACTGAATTTACACAACTTCAATAATAGAGTACGTAAATCCAAGGAGCAAACCATCGATTTGGAATATAAGGAAGCAAAAAATGCCCAATCAGAACAGCAAAAAGAAAAAAGAATCCAAAAAAATGAGGATAGTGTAAGGAGCCTCTGGGACAACTTCAAGCGTGCCAACATTCGCATCTTGGGGGTGCCAGAAGGAGAAGAGAGAGAACAAGAAGTCGAAAATCTGTTTGAAACAATAATGGCAGAAAACTTCCCTAACTTGGTGAAGGAAACAGACATACAAGTCCAGGAAGCACACAGAGTCCCAAACAAGATGAACCCCAGGAGGCCCACACCAAGACACATCATCATCAAAATGCAAAAGGGTCAAGACAAAGAGAGAATCTTAAAAGCAGCAAGAGAAAGGCAGATAGTTACCTACAAGGGAGTTCCCATAAGGCTGTCAGCTGATTTCTCAAAAGAAACTTTGCAGGCCAGAAGGGAGTGGCAAGAAATATTCAGAGTGATGAAAAGCAACAACCTACAACCAAGATTACTCTATCCTGCAAAGCTGTCATTTAGAATTGAGGGTCATATAAAGAGTTTCCCAGACAAGAAAAAGTTAAAGGAGTTCATCACCACCAAACCATTATTATATGAAATGATGAAGGGTCTTTTTGAAGAAAAAGATAAAATATATGAACAACCAAAATGGCAATGAATGCATATCTATCAACAATGGAATCTACAAACAAAATGAACAGGTAGAAAGAAACATTCTCATAGATACAGAGAACATTTTGTTGGTTGCCAGTTGGAAGGGGGGTGGTGGAATGGGTGAAAAAGGTGAAGAGATTAAGAAGTACAAATTCATTGCTAGACTGACAAACCTCAAAGGGAAAGGGGTTGGGGGTTGGGGGGTGGGAAGAAATAATCCAAAGAACTTATATTCATTACCAATGGACACAGACAATAGTGTGGGAAAAGGCAGGAGTGGGGAGGAGGGGTCAATGGGGGAAAAATGTGGAACATCTGTAATACATTTTACATCCAACAATAAAGATTTAAAAAAAAAAAATAGAATAAAGAGTAAATAAGCCCTGGCCGGTTTGGCTCAGCGGTTAGAGCGTCAGCCTGCGGTCCGGAGAGACCCGGGTTCGGTTCCCGCTAAGGGCACGTGCCTTGGTTGCAGTTTGTCCCCAGCCCTGGTTGGGTCGTGTGGGTGGCAACCACTCGATGTGTCACTTTCACATCGATGTTTCTCTCTCTCTCTCTCCCTCTCACTCTATCTGAACAAAATATCAAAAAATGTCCTCGGGTGAGGATAAAACAAAACAAAACAAAAAAGAGTAAATAATTATACATCCATAGAACAAAACAGTAAGCAGTCATTTAGAAAAATCAAGTCATCTGAACAGTTATTGAAATCAAATAATGTTATTTTAGTCATCACTACTATAATTTTCTTCCTAGTCTCCAAAGGAAAGGTAAAATATTTAGGTTTAGTTCAATGATGAAACAGTGATCATGGTATAGTGTTAAATTTCAAAGAAAACAGGATATAAAACCATATGCAAGACATATTATTTTTTATTTTTATTTCTTTTTAAACAATTTTTTTTCTTTATTGATTTTTTAGAGAGAGAGGAATGAGAGGGAGAGAGAGATAGAAACACTGATGAGAGAGAACATAGACTGGCTGCCTCCTGCATGCCACCCCTGGGGATCGGGCCCACAACCTGGGCATGTGCCCTGACCAGGAATCGAACTGGCAACCTTTTGGTGCATGGGTCAATGCTCAACCACTGGGCCACACCAGCCGGGCCAATAAATATTTCTTTAATCACCTGAAAGTATATCCAAAAGGAGTTTTTTTGTTTGTTTGTTTTTTATCCTCACCCGAGGACATTTTTCCATTTTTTGTTCAGATAGAGTGGGAGAGAGAGAGAGGACGAGAGAGAGAGAGAAACATCGATGTGAAAGGGACACATCGAGTGGCTGCCCCCACACGACCAACCAGGGCCGGGGACAAACCGCAACCGAGGTACATGCCCTTAGCGGGAACTGAACCCGGGTCTCTCTGGACCGTAGGCTGACACTCTAACCGCTGAGCCAAACCGGCCAGGGCCAAAAGGAGTTTTTTATTTTTGTTTTTAAACATGCTTTTATTGATTTTTTAGAGAGAGAGGAAGGGAGAGAAAGATAGAAGCATCAATGTGAGTTACATCAATCAACTGCCTCCTGGACATCCCCTACTGGGGATCGAACCCACAATCCAGGAATGTGCCCTGAATGGGAATCAAACCAGGACCTCTCAGTCCATGGAATGACGCTCAACACACTGAACCACACCAGCCAGGCCAAAAGGAGTTTAAAAACTTATTTTCTACCCTGGCCCAGTGGCTCAGTTAGTTCGAGCATCATCCCATACACCAAAAGGTTTTGTGTTCAATTCCGGGACAGGGCATGTACAGGAGGCAACAGAGTGATGTTTCTCTCTCTCTCTCTCCCTTCTCTTTCTAAAAATCAATAAAAATAAATTTAAAAAAAAATTCCACATGCAAAATTGCTTTTTTTTATTAACCCCAAATAAGCCATGATGTCCAGAGGTGGAAGATCTATAAATAATGGCATCTCATTAACACTGCCGTCCACAAGGTGCAGGATATGTGCATATTAAGATGATCCTTTTGTGTATCAGAATTTTTAAATAGCCCTGGCCAGTTTGGCACAGCGGTTAGAGCGTCGGCCTGCGGTCCAGAGAGACCCGGGTTCGGTTCCCGCTAAGGGCACGTACCTGGTTGCAGTTTGTCCCCAACCCTGGTTGGTCATGCGGGTGGCAGCCACTCAATGTGTCTCTTTCATGTCGATGTTTCCCTCTCTCTCTCTCTTCTACTCTCTCCCTCCCACTCTATCTGAACAAAAAATGGAAAAATGTCCTCAGGTGAGGATTTAAAAAAAAATTTTTTTTTAATAATATTTCAACAATATTTAGACACTTATGTGCTGATATGTTTATACTTTTATTTCAGTTCAGAATTAAAATGGTTAGGTTTTAAAATCCGAAATGGTTACTTTTTTTGGTAGGAGAAGAGATTTGTATCTACTGTTTGAATTATGAACGGTTTTTGTAGTCTTCATTTTACTTTTAAACTTTTCGTTGTGTTTTGTGTACTGCTTACCATGGAGCACTTCTCCAGTACTTCTTCCTGGAACTTCAGGAATCGTTCCTGAACCTCAACTTCATTGAGGAAAAAGGAAAGAAAGTGAGTGAAGGGCTGCTTTCTTCTAAAAGTGAGCAAAAGAACATCAATCCGAGTTCGGGCTGAAATTACACCACTTCGATGCTGGCCAGTGATAACTACAAACAAACAAAAAATAGGGTTAACATACTCAAGGACCATCAAAATTCTTGTAATATAGGTGACTACTTGATACTGTCATCTGTGGGGAGCTGTCCTGAATGTGTACATAATTCTAAACAGGGAACAGTATCAAGGGTAAGAAACTTAAAATGAATTCAATCTAAGCAGAATGAGATCTAAAACAGAATATGCTTAGCCCTGGCCGGTTTGGCTCAGTGATTAGAGCGTCAGCCTGTGGTCCAGAAAGACCCGGGTTCAGTTCCCACTAAGGGCACGTACCTCGATTGCAGTTTGTCCCTGGCCCTGGTTGGGTCATGTAGGTGGCAGCTACTTGATGTGTCCCTTTCACGTCGATGTTTCTCTCTCTCTCTCTCCCTCCCAGTCTATCTGAACAAAATATTGAAAAATGTCCTCGGGTAAGGATAAAAAACAACAACAACAAAAAACAGAATATCCTTAAAGACCAGCTGATGAACTAGAAAAATGAGTTCAAAACTACAAAGCAAACTCTCATATATTGTTGATGGGAATGTGAACAGGTACAGCTGCTATGAAAAAGTCTGGCAGCTCCCTGAAAAGTTAAAAAGGAATTAGCATATGACCCAGCAATTCCATACCTAGACAGAAACCCAAAAGAAGTAAAAACAGGTAATCAAAAAAACTTGGACACAAATAAAATGTTCATAGCAAACTTTTCACAATACCAAAAGGTGGAATGAAACACAAATGTCCATCAACTGATAAACTGATAAACAAAATGTGGTATATCTACATAAAATAGAATATTATTTAGAAAAAAAAAAGGAATGAAGAACTGATGCATGCAAAAATATAGATGACTTTTGAAAACATTATGCTAAGTAAAACTCTAGACAAAAATAGGCCACATACTGTATGAATGTTTCCGTTTATAGGAAATACCCAAAACAAGCAAATTCATAGACAAAAAGCAAATTACTGACAGTCAAAGACTGGGGGTAAGAAGCAATGGGAAGTGACAGCATAATGGATATGAAGTTTCCTTCTGGGGTGACAAAAAACGGTTCTAAAACTTAGTCGGACAACACTGTAAATGTATAAATACCCGTGAATTCAATATTTTAAAAAGGTAGAAATGGTAAATTTTATGTCTAGAGGACAAATTAAAACCTACTAGATCATTTCCTTTTCTGGTCTCTCTAATTAAGGACAAACAAAATGCAAGTGCAGTCTTTTTTTTTTTTTTATCCTCACCTGAGGACATTTTTGCATTTATGTTCAAATAGAGGGGGAGGGAGAGAAGGGGGGGGGGGAGGGAGGGAGGGAGGGAGGGAGAAGGGGAGAGAGAGAGAGAGACATTGATGTAAGAGAGACACATGGAGTGGTTGCCACCCACACAACCCCAACCAGGGATGGGGACAAACTACAACCGAGGTAGGTGCCCTTAGGGGGAACTGAACCCGGGACTCTCTGGTCTGCGGGCCGACGCTCTAACCACTGAGCCAAACTGGTCAGGGCTGCAGTCTTGAATTCACATCACAATTCAATTTACTCTAACCAATACATTTGATGTTTCCATATACTTTGTTTCCCTACCAGATCAATAAGCCAGTTTATCCTCTTGTTTTCAATTAAATTAGTTCCACCAAATTCTTACTTTTTTTTCAATCCTCACCAGAGGACATTTTTTCCCATTTATCTTCAGATAGAGTGGGAAGGAGAGAGAGAGAGAGAGAGAAGCATCAACGCAAGAGGAACACATCAACTGATTGCCTCCCGCTTGACCCCAACCAGGGACAGGGACGAACCACAACCAAGATATGAGGTACGGGCTGACACTAACCACAGAGCCAAACCGGCCAGGGCCAAATTCTTACTTTTAATGATTAGACACACTTATTTTTCACACTGAAATATCTGTACTTTCTAAATCAAAAGTTAATCTTTACAATCTGCTTACCCTTTTCTGGTTAAATTTTGGAATGATTCATTATTTTAAAATGGCCAATGTCTCGCCCTGGCCAGTTTGGCTCAGCAGTTGAGCGTCGGCCTGTGGACCAGAGAGTCCTGGGTTCGGTTCCTGCTAGGGGCACGTACAGAAAGAAAAAAAAAAGGGGGAGAGGGCCAATGTCTCCACATTTATGCCATGTTATAAAAATTATTAATATGGCCCTGGCCGGTTTGGTTCAGCAGTTAGAGCATCGGCCTGCGGTCCAGAGAGACCCAAGTTCAGTTCTCACTAGGGGCACGAACCTCGGTTGCAGTTTGTCCCTGGCCCTGGTTGGGTTGTGCAGGAGGCAGCCACTCAACGTGACCCTTTCACATGGATGTTTCTCTCTCTCTCTCTCTTCCTCTCTCTTCCTCCCACTCTATCTGAACAAAAAATGGAAAAATGTCCTCGGGTGAGGATAAAAAAATAAAAATAAAAATTATTTATATGTTACTATATAGATAGCAAAAATGGGGAATATATTAAACTGTCAATAGCAATTAGATCTGGGATTCCTATTACAAAAGATTTCCCTTTATAGCTGCATATAATTTCTACAAGATTCCATGTTTAAAGTATACAGTAATTTTAAATTTAGGAAAAAAGTAGGTAAATAAGTTTAAATGCAATTATAAAACACTTCAGTATTTGTAACTTGAACTTTAAAGCTTAAGGAAAGACCCATGTTTTCTTTATTTATAATTCTAATGAACTGAATATTTATTTTAATAATAGCCCTATATAAATGTGGCTAAAGTTCTTATACTGGAGTTTACTGAGGTTACAAGAGGCTGGGGAAAACGCTAGTATAGGACCCCACGTGCAGCTAGTTAGACTAAAAGTTACATGAATTAAAATTAAATAGTTACAAATTCAGTTCCTCAGTCACAGCAGCCACATTTTAAGTACTCATAGTCACATGTGGCTAGTGGTTCCTGTGCTGGACAGTGCAAATGTAGAACATACCCATCATCACAGATGGTTCTTTTGGACATCACTGCTCTAAAGTCAACTTTACATATCTGTCACAGTGATTATTCTTACAGAGCACAAAATTAGAAGAGTACTGGTCATTTTTTTTCTCCTGAAACAAAACAATCTATGGGAAAAAAAAAAATTCCCAAAAGGCAGAGGAGTGAATGGAAGCTACACAGACGGTCTCCCAGGACCAAACTGGAATTACAACTAAAATAAAGACAAACCGTCAGGAAAAAGCAACAGAAAAGCAGCTTGCAAGGATCATATAACCAGGGACACTGGCTCGATCCTGGTAGGATTGCAGAGGCACAAGAGTGGGGCTGGGAGCCCAAGGTCGGCAGTGGCCTTAGCTGTGAGCAGCACCCTCAGGGTTAAAGTTCCAAGCGGCTCCACAGCCCAGAGTCAGGAAAGACGCTAAAATAGCCACAGCCACTCACCTTGGGCTCTGGCAGAGGGAGGGCAGACTGAACTGGAACTGCGTGGGGACACTTGGGATTTGGAGGGCGCTCAGAGCTTTCGCTGAGTTGCAGCCACACAGGATGGTGGCCATCTTACTCCTTCCCAGGGCTCTGGGGAGAGGTGGAGGCCCCTCCCTCGGAGATTCAACCCCACCCAGGTGGGCCATTGAAATGCAAATTGAGGCTCATTAATAACCAGCATTTGGCCCTGGCTGGTTTGGCTCAGTGGTTAGAGCATCGGCCTGCGGTCCTGAGAGACCCGGGTTCGGTTCCCGCTAAGGACGCGTACCTCGGTTGCAGTTTGTCCCCGGCCCTGGTCGGTCGTGCGGGTGGCAGCCACTCGATGTGTTCCTTTCACATCGATGTTTCTCTCTCTCTCTGTTCCTCTCCCCCCACCCCCACTCTACCTGAACAAAAAATGGAGAGGTGTCCTCGGGTGAGGATAAAAAATAAATAAAAATAAAAAATAACCAGCATTTGGCCCTGGCCAGTTTGGCTCAGCGGTTAGAGCGTCGGCCTGCTGTCTGGAGAGACCCGGGTTCGGTTCCCGCTAAGGGCATGTACTTCGGTTGCAGTTTGTCCCCGGCCCTGGTTGGGGCCCTGGTTGGTCGTGCGGGTGGCAGCCACTCGTGTTCCTTTCACGTCGATGTTTCTCTCTCTCTGTTCCCCTCTCTCCCTCCCACTCTACCTGAACAAAAAATGGAAAAATGTCCTCGGGTGAGGATAAAAAAATAAAAATAAAAAAATAACCAGCATTTGCCCCACCCTTGGGAAATCCCCTTATGCTGAGCACCTGAGGGAGTTTTTCATTCAACTGAGAACACAAGGCTCTTCAAGTAACCTGCTACTGATAGCCTCCAGGCAAAAAGCTAGAGGATAACTGAACCATTCCTGAGCTAGCAACTCTAACCAGGAAAGTAAGACTTGACAGTGGTGTTTAACGTGGGTCCTCCCTCGCTCATCCAAAACCGAGAGAGGGAGCCACAAACAGCAGAACACCAACACCTACAGGGAAAATTTGGCAGGCTCCAAAGCCCACTGTGATAGCCAAAATGGTGAAACAAAAAAACAAATGCCAAATGAAAGAACAAGAGACTTATACAAAAGATGAGATAAATGAGGAGCAGTTAAGCATGGTAACAAAGCTAGAATTCAGAGCCATGATTTGAGGAAGCTCAATAGCATGAGTAAGGATATCAACACCATGAGTAAAGATATAGAAATGTTGAAAATCAACCAACTGGAAATCAAAAATCACTAAGAAGAAATCAAGAATGACATATCAGAAACAAAGAACACATTGGAAGATCCAAACAGCAGAGTAGAGGAAGCTGAGGACTGGATCAATGAATTAGAAGACAGTGTAGAAAAAACTCAACCAATCAGAAAACCAAAAGGAAAAAATTTAAAAACAGGAAGACAGCTTAAAAAAATTGTGGGACAACTGGAAATGTAATAACATTCGCATCATAGGAGAACCCAAAGAAGAAGAAAATGAGCAATGGTTAGAGAATATATTTCAAGAAATAGTGACAGAAAACTAACCTAATTTGGTGAAAGAAGGCATTCAAGTTCAAGAAGCACAGAGAGC